AGTAACCACAGGACTCTTCTCACTCTCTCATAAATAAAGGAAAAAGAAAAAACAAAATTAAACCAGATACAAAGAAAACATATGAGGCTGTTGATGCATTTCCCAGTTATTGTAAAATTGTGTCTCAGACTCTTGGATGCTTCTGAATGTTTTGCCCAATTTCCTTTGGTATGCCTCTCAAGATACAGGGTGATGGTTTATTTTGGGCAAGGCTGGCAGCTGCCTTCGACTGCTCTTTTGCAACCAACTGTATGAGGATAGCCACTAAGTTTATTTTTACATTTCACCACAGGACAAAATCCACATTTTCAATCAAGTGTTGGACACTCCAATTTAACAAGTTGTGAAAAATCTGTTGGCCCAGATAAACGTTTGCTAAGAGTATTCTTTTCTCTAAATTAAGATTTTGCTCCCGGAAGCCCAAGAATTCATTAAGCCGTAATTAGCCGTGATCACTGATGATTTAAAATACAGTAATAAAGAGGAAGTTTTTACTGAGCTTTGAAGACACCATTGGATGTGTCCTATGGTTGACTTTTTATAGCTTTAGTTTTAAAATAACTTTCCTATTTCATCTGCGGCCGCCTTTTCTCCACCCAGCTCTTCACACAAGCAGGGTGGGAGCTGTCTTCCAAGTTCCCAATGCTGCAGGCGGTGACATCTGCCTCTGTGGACTCAGACAAAGTGCCACATCATCTCAAACCAACATACCACTTATGAAGTCACAGGCTTTCCCATAAAAAGGGCTGGCTTCATCTGTCATCTAAAAAGAGACAAAGTATTCTTCAAAGATACATTTGCTGCAACAAACCCAGAGCACCCTAGGAGGGGGAATTCTCTCATTATTCTATTAGCTGATGTGGTCAAGGGAATTCATTTTGATTAGCTGCCTGAGCTCAGAAGGTAAGTAACTTGATTAAAGGCACATAGCAGTAGTACTTAGATCTAAGCTAAGGTTTCTCTGCCTTCTGAGCCTATCCTCCTGTTCTGGTACACACGCACCGGCTTAGCAGTCCTAAAGCCAGCTCTTCAGCTTTTATGGTATCTGACAGGGAGACATACCTTATGTTTTTCATTTTTCTAAGTAAAGCCCAGGTTTGACTTCCTGATACCTGAAGTAGGGCAAGGAATACCCTTGATTCTTTTACTCTTATCTGCGTTTTACTTTTGGTATATCAAGAGATATACCACACAAAGTTTATTTGCCCTTATGGTTTTTATTTGTATCATTATTACTGAAATTTTATTTGTATCATTGCCACTGGGATGGGTTTTATTGTGGCTTTTTACTTGTGCCTACATTTTACTGTGGCTCTTCCACCTGCAGCTCAGTCCCTTTTAAGACTAACATTTTTGTATCTAACGGTGGACATAGCTTTCCACTGAGCTGTCATGACTGTGATGTTAGTGTCACCAGATTTAAGAACAATCTACTTCACTAAATGTGTTTTGTTATTTTTGTTGGGTACTGTGCCATACCATGTTGGAAAGCACACAAGCTCTGGAGTCAGATAGGTTTTGGTGTACATCTTGGGTCTTCTACTTCCAGTTACATGACTTTGAGACTGTTGCTTAGTATTTTACTATATGCAGTTCCTAGAACCCAATCAATGGGCACGCAATCCTCTATCATTGTTAATTTTCTTTTCCTATGTGTTGTACAAATGTGTATGAACTTTTCAAACTCTATTGGATCACAGAAATCTATTTAGGTTTTTGAGATGAATGAGTTAATCCCCTTTCCCCTGGTGAAATGCTTCGTGTTGCTGATGGGTGGGGCCTTGAGAATGTTGTCATTTCCACTCAGTTCAGTTTACTTTCTCCAACCCAAGTAGGAGAAGCAACAGCAAACAGCACATTATTAGTCACTGTTGCTTTCCACCAAAATTTCAAACTAAAAATATGTATTTTAAACTACATGTTTGCTCCTCTTAAAGAGGTGGATTATAAACTGTTAGAAATCAGGGACCATTAAACAACCATTTTCATCTGCAGTGGATTCAGAATATAATCATCTTTGAGTGTGGGAAGGATGTGTCCATGAATGCCAAGTAAAGTGCCATACCGTTAGTAAATGTGAAGCCTTTCCGGCTTTCTCCAACCAGACTTAAATGGTTCTTCTTCCAAACTTGAGTAGCACTTTGCACCTGTAACTAGGGGTGGGGGGATTCCAGTTTGAGCCTAAGGTAGTCCGTCAGTGGGCTTTAGGTATATCTGGCCTACTAGAATCTGTTTTCAGGAGAGACCATGGAACCTCCTGGAGACTATTCATCCTGAGGAAGGGGGTACCAGGCTTAGCCAGAAATTGGAAGGGAGGAGTGATTCCAAGCATTGTGTGGAATTTATTTTCTTGGCCATTCATGACCTAAAGACCAGGCAAGGAGCAGGATACGGGCAGGGAGGAAGTATGGGATGGTTGCAGGTAAATAGGGATTATTGGTAAAAAATGGAAATGGTTGTTTCACTTTCAAAACACCTTAAGAATTTTGAGCAAAAGTAGCATGGTGTTGGCGCCACCTGGGAAGGTACTGTCTAAATGAAGGCTGGATGGAGAAATGTCACCCACTTATGCACAGAGCACAGCTAAACTTCAGCATCTTGAGGCCACCAGCACACAGGCAGTAGGAGCACCCGGGAAAGCTGAGGTGGACAGCAGAAGTGGCAGTTGTCACTTAAAGAAATAGCTTTTCAGTAGGCCGAGCGAGCAGGGAGGCCACTTCTCATAGCTTAGCAAGCGGCAAAGCACCACTAATCAATTGGTGCCATGGGAGGTGGCCAGCATACGAGGGGAAAGGGTTTGTGCTGTGTGTTCTTATCTGCAGGCTCACCCTTAAATCTGCCCCAGGACTTCTGTAAATACCAGCAGGGAGAACCCAGCGAGGGCCCTGGGGCTGGCATTACCGATGGCAGTCCATCAAATACATGCTATAGCCAGCAAAATCCGAGCTCTGTGAGAATGCGTGCACACTCAGGAAGTGGCTATGCAGGAGATCACTCAGCTCTCAGCTTTGAAAAGGCAGCCGTGCCGGTGGGTGGGAAGAGGGTGGTCTGGGGAAGTCCTGGGAGAAGAGATTAAAGAGCTTGGTGAGGAAGAAAAGGTGCTGCATCATAGAACCTTTTAGGAGCAAACCATTTCTTTAAGTAAAGTAATCATGCTGTCAGTATTTCTCCGGCTCGAGTAACATACTGAATGCTTTTAAAGAATATGGTACTTGAATATATACAAATATAAACCAGGTTTAAACTACATGCAGTCATACTTCTATATAACCAGAAACAAAGAATGTACAAGTACAAAAAACACCTCCACATTAAATAGAATTTAAATTAATGATATTAACTAATGGGATGAATGATTTTGTGTTGCTTAAATTAAAATCACCGTGCCAGGCAAAAATGTGGTGTAGATGAACCACACAGGAGGAGAAACAAGCTGTCAGCGAGAAAGAATTGTTCTGTGCACAGATGATTTGCTGATGGTTTCCAGTGAACTTGGATGGCTCTCTAACATTACTACCTCACAGCATGAATTTTATGAAAATCCTTGAGACCCAGGACAAAGTGTCTGCTCATAAAATCTTTCACTTTGCCATGTGCACTGGGCTTGGGGATGAGGAGTGGGGGCGAGGGAGCTGCCCCCTCTCTCCACTGCTCACGCAGAATTCATCCTGGTGCTCTACGCCAGGAGGGTGTGTTGTCAGGTCCTCGCTATGCCTTGCAACATTCAGAATTTTCAAAGGATTTTACCATCTGCTTTTTCTGTGTCCTGATGTCACACAGAACAGAGTATATAAGACTACTCTCACCCTCAAACTTTTCCCTTTTAAGGGGATGCACACTTGTCCAATTTTAGGGATAAAACAACCCTTTTTTTGCTCCTGTTCTCTGTCTTTTCCTGGAGAAAGACAAGAGTCTGTATCAGAGAATGGTTTCCAAGATCCTGGCTCGGGGTGGGAGGGGCAGTTGAGCAGGCATCTTTGCTTTTTTGTATTTGGCTGTTTCTGACTGCGGAGGTGCTGCCAGCCTTCGAGAACTGCAGGCTCGAGGTGCAGGTGGCCATTTGCCTCCCTGCCCTAGGCAGAGCTGTTCCTCCCTCCCTCCCTCTTCCAACCTGCCTCTGAATGCCTGGTGCTTGGTGACACTACTGCCACTTCCACTCACAGCCTCCATCTCTGGCAGCCTCTTCAGTTGTTCTCTGCTGGTCATTGTCTTCATATCTTTGCTTTTCTCCTCTCTTATATTTTCATCGATGTTTCTCATCTCAAGAAATAAGTTTAAGTAAGTTCACCATGGTATTTGTCTGTTTGGGCTGCTATAACAAAAAGCCGTACACTGGGTGGCTTACAAACAACAGAAATTTATTGCTCACAGTTCCGGAGGAGGCTGGGAAGTCCGAGATCAAGGTGCAGGCGGATTGGGTGTCTGGCAAGGGCCCACTTTCTGGTTCACAGAAGGCATCTTCTTGCTGTGTCCTCACATGGAGGAAGGGAAGAACTGTCGTCTTCGCAGCTCCTTATAAGGGCGCTAAGCCTGTTCATGAGGGCTCCACTTTCATGACTTAATCATCTCCCAAAGTCCCTACCTCTTAATACCGCCACATTGGGAGCCAGGTTTCAACATAAGAATTTTGGGCAAACACATTCAGACTGTAGCCACCATCTAATCAGAATGTGCCTTTTCTTTGTTCTCAGTGGCTGACAAACGAGGCATGGCCTGTCAGGGATATCGTGGGAGCATTCACCTCTTGCTTAGAACAGTGCAAGAACAGGACAAGCTGCCAAAGTGTTAGGGCTGACTCTGAGCCCTGGCAAGCTCTATGACAATGGTGCTAGGAGATGCTGGTGTCAGTGTCTTCTCCCAGAGGAAACTGCCTCCATGCTCTCTGTTCAAATGCAGGCACAAAGTCACAGCAACCTTCCTGGTGCACAAGGGGAGATCATCAAAAAGCGTCCCTCACCTCTTGGGCTCCCTTCATGGCTGTTTTTTGTTATTGTTGGCAGAACCCTCCTTCAGCAACTCCAGAAGCTCCAGACGTTGGTGATGGGCAAGGTTTCTCGTACCTGCAAGCTAGCTGGCACGCAGACTGGCACCTGCCTCATGGTGAGTTCCCCAGAGGGACAGCACAGTCACTGCCCCTGGCCCAGGCCCCTGTCTCCAGTCTCTCTCGGCTTGGCAAGGTCAAGTGCTGTGCGGTTGGAGAAACCACACGGCTCAACTCGAGCTGTTCCTTTGTCGGACACTCCAATGACGTGACCTGTGGGTGCCACCTGCTGGCCCAACAGAGAGGAGTCTGCCTCCCTGGCTGTCCCAGGTGTTGCAGGTCTCAAGCTTTGCCCCTTGGAGTCTGGAATCCACAGTCCCCATGTTCTGTCCTCCCACTCCAGGTCGTCGTGCTGTGCTTTGCCGTGGCATTTGGCAGCTTCTTTCAGGGCTACGGGCCTTATCCCTCTGCCACCAAGATGGCTCTGCCCAGCCAGCATTCCATGCCGGAGCCGTACACAGCCTCCGTCGGTAAGACAGCGCTCAGCAACTTGGGAAGCGTCTTGTTTTGTTTCTTTAGAGCTGGGTTTCTCGGTTTTCCAAATGAAATCTTATGTGACAATCCAGTTTTTAAAAAGTGGTAAAGTGGAGCTTCTCCATTGGAAGGGGAAGGAAGAGACATGTGGGGTTTCTGTGCCCGGCTGCTGCCTGCCCCTTGGGCCCCTCACCCACAGGGCTCAGGCATCACTGGGAATTCTCTAGAGCTTGAAAGAGCCCAGTGTGCAAACTCCTATTCTAGACTGTGTTCCTGGATGCATCCTGACATCCCCTCTGTGAGTTTTGTTCAGGGGGAGGGAAGTAGATGAGGCTGGGGGGAAGAGGATTAAGCTTTCTATGACATTTTAAGAGAACCTCTGTGTTTCTGCCTCCACTGAGTGGAATTGCACATGACTATAGTAAGAGTTTGTAAAATGAAATTAAAGAATCGGTCTGTCTTACAAAACATTATGCCCAAGACTTAGAGAATTTGGAGATTCAGATGTTAGATAAGAAGTGTAGGATATTCTCACGTAGATCAATTACCTAAGTATGCAGGAAACAAACGGGTGGTGAGTAAGGAATACATACATGAATATATGTCCGCTAATAAGAATGAGCATGGAGTTAGGGGGTGTGGTAGTCTCCCCTTATCCAAGGTTTCACTTTCTGCGGTCTCAGTAGTCAACCAAGGTCCAAAAATAGGTGTGTACAGTACAACAAGAAATTTTGAGAGAGAGACCACATTCATATTAATATAACTTTTATTACAGGATATTATTAGAATTATTTATTTTATTATTTATTGTTAATTGCTTACTGTGCCTAATTCATAAACTAAATCTTATCATAGGTATGGATGTATAGGAAAAACCATTGTATATATAGGGCTCAGTACTATCCGAGTTTCAGACATCCACTGGAGGCCTTGGAACACATCCACAGGGATAAGGGGGGACCACTGTATTGGATGTAGGGTAGGGACAGTTTTGCCATTCTGAAGTGTCCATGGTCTTTATCCGCAGGTGCATCCTTGCCAGGTATGTGACAGAAGTGCTAGCATTCCAATCAAATAATTTCAGTGGCCTGTTGGGAAATTCTTTTTTCCCCAAGGGCAGGTATCTCCAAATTTAATTGGAAGGCAGTGAGAGCATAGTTTCTATGTTGTATAAAACTGCTACAGAGCCATCTAGCTATGTGACTATCCCATAAAACTAAAGAGACTGTCTCCGTCCTTTGATTTATGGCTTTGTGCCTTTTCTCCAGTTTCTAAATGAAAATGCCCTGCACCTCATCTCCCTGCAAGACCCACTCACTGGGGATGCTTTCTTTTAGCTGGGTCTGGACGTCTCCAAGTATTTGACTACCATTCCCAAGAATTGTTTTCCCTAGATGGTTATGGGTGGGGAGGAGGGGGGAGTTTTATTTTCAAAGCAGTGGGGGTGGTAGTTTGCTTGGTGTTTATTTGCTTTTCTATTGTTCTTCCAGCATTGTATAATTTTTTAATGTACAAACTCTGAAACTCTGAAGCTTTTATAGAAAGCCAAATCCAGTTGGAATCTTAAGTCCTGGGCAATTAGAACACACACCTTGTCATCAGCCACCGGCCCTGAGCTTCTTTAGTGAGGGGATGTGGTGGACCACTGTGGTCCTTCGCTAATGCCTTGTTACTTTGCTCTGTTCTCAGTGAGATCCAGGAACCTGCTGATCTACGAAGAACATTCTCCCGCAGAGGAGCTGTCCAGCCCGGCCTCAGCCGGGGAGCTTGGGCCCTGGGATAGAGGCTCCTCCCTGCTCAGGGTGTCGGGGCTGGAGTCCAGGCCGGATGTGGATCTTCCCCGTTTCATTATCTCGAATGAGACCAGCCTGGAGAAGTCAGTGCTTTTGGAGCTGCAGCAGCACCTGTGAGTCATAGAGACAGAGATTCAACTCCTTTAGTGCACTGAGGGTGGCTTATGAGTCAGCAACTTGTATGTAGGGTACAGGCCCTCCCAGAGGCCTAGTCCAGTACTGCCCTCTCAGGATCTATTTCTAGGACCTGGTACTGAGGGGAGAGTCTGTTGCTGGCCAACAGCTGCCCTGAGCAGAGATGGGGAAAAGACCTGGCATGAGCTCCCCCATGCCTGCTGTGTCAGTAGAAAGCTGACAGTGGTGGCATCAAGGAGTGGGGCAGGGCTTCTCCCACCATCTCCATCCTCCCCTCCCAGCCACACGGGTGAACACACAGCCCACGTAACAGCAGCGTGCTTGCTATGCAAATGCAGCGTCAAGACACGTTCTCTAGCTTCCTCCCAACTAGAGAGTAATATACATTATGCTACATGTCCATATATATTTATGATTTATATGTAAATACATTATAACAGTATACTTATGTATTTATATGGAAGGTCATGGTGAGAGGTACATGTTTCCATATTGAACAGAACCTATATTTGGCTCCAATTCTCCATGAGTTGTTTCTCTTGGATAGTTATGGGAAAATCCTTTTGGAAACTTAAGGACTTATATGACCTCAAGGTATAGTTATTGTGGTGAGGGAGGTCCCTAGGTGTGCCGGTCAGCACGGGACGGCGGGGCTGCGTGCACACTCCTGGCTACATGTGTTGTGGCTGGGGATTTAGCCGGTCTGTGCTCCACTGCCTTGCAGAAATGAGACTGTTCTAGTGTAGGTAGGAAAGATTTTGGTTCAGATTCTTCAGCTTCCTTCCCCTAACCCTGCAGAGGAAGGGTCATGATTACATACTTTTATACGTGTACATTATACATGTGTGTTTAACATTTGCTGGTGCTTACTATCTTAAGCACTTTACAGATGTGATGCAGGTTGAGTATCTTTTATCCAAAATGCTTGGGACCAGAAGTGTTTCAGATTTTGGATTTTTTTGGACTTCAAAATACTCACATTATACTTATCAGTTAAGCACCCTAATCCAAAAATCTAAAATGCTTCAATGAGCATTTCCTTTGACTGTCATATTGGTGCTTAAAACGTTTTTGATTCATTTCAGATTTTGGATTTTTGGATTGACAGTACTCAACTGGTATCATATAAATTCTTTTAACTACCCCAGGTGGTGAGGCATTATTAGAGAAAAAGTCTGGAGCTGCCACGGAAAACTATAGAAGACTGAGCTGTTTGGCACATGACACAAGCTTCTCTCCTCTTAGCTCAGTTATTCATGACCCCCTTCAAATCCCACTTGTTCTGTGATGTCTCCCAAATAACAGAGCCTCCTAGCTCTCCTCCGAATGCCTAGAGACTTTCTAGCTTGTTATGTAGTTTATAACATATTTATTTTTTGTTATAGATTTATTGTTATTTCAAATTAGTTCATTGTTAAAAATCTTTGTCTGGATTATTAACTCTTCTGGACAAGAGATCAGCGCTCATTCTTTTATTTCTTCCTTCGCAGAGTTTAGCATGGGGCTAAACATCTTTAGTAAATACAACAATTTAATGCAATTCATAAGAAATCGGTACCAAGCCACCATGTTATCCTCTGGGTTGTGATGCCTCCTCTGGGTGGGGATAAAGGTGGGAATGTGGACGAGTGGATAGGCTGGTAGCGGGGGACTTTGGGAACAGAGAACTGCTCCTAGGAGGGAAAAGGACAAGAAACATGCCTGGGCCAGCCCCCCAAGTTGCAGTCATCCAGTGATTGTATCACACTACAAAGCACAAGAATTGTAGTTGACAGTTGGTGGCTAATACCTCTTTTTCCTTTCAATGCCTTCACAGGGTCAGCGCCAAACTGGAGGGGAATGAAACACTAAAAGTTGTAGAACTCGACAGAAGAGTGAACACCACCTTCTAAAGAGGTTCTCTGCTCCCCTTGCCCCAACTCTACTTTTACATCCTCAAACCACCTTTGTCATAAGCTTTTCCTCTTTGCCACTGGATCTTGACAAAGACATGGACTAGCGTTAGTGGCTTCAGATGGGAGGCCAGCCTGGGATTCCCCTGCAGTGAGACAGCACCTTCCCCGCGGTCCACGCCCCTCCGTGCAGAGGGGAGCCCGCGTCCCTCCCTCCCTTGCCCTTACTGCCATAGGAAATTATTTTAGGGGTGGGGGTGGGACAAGCAGGCTTGTTTCCACCAACAGTGCCAAAAACATACTGCCTGATTCACACCTGTGAGGTGCACCCCCCTCTTTGAAGAAGAAATGACTCGTATTCCATCTAGACCCCAGACGCTAGCCACAAAAATGCCACAACGATGCCTGTTGGGATTTGGCAAAGCACTGACTCATGTCCTCCCTAGCTCACGGCGGGGTCTCCGGTAGGAATGCGCCTGATGGCGGTCCTTCGCCCACTCTGCCCCCTCGGAGCCCTCGCTGGATGGTCCCCGCACCGGCACTGGCAGGCGAGGGCTCCCCTTCATGTTCTCAGGCCGCAAGTGCAATGCCTGAAGCGATCAGGCTTTTCTACTCCAGGCGAACCTGCCCCATCTCGTTGCTTGTAGGACCTCCCGTAAGCTGGTCCCCACACACCCATAGTTCCGCCTCCCCAGCTTCTCCTCCCCGTGTGTAAATAGTATTTATTAGCTCGCTGAGGCTTCTCGCTAGCAGCCACACTGGAGAGATTCCAGGCCTCCCTTCAAGCCAGCAAAGTCTTCTGCTGGCCTTTGGAGCTAGGAGGGCACCCTAGGCTCTGGGATCCCCAATCTTTCCAGACAATGTTTTGTTTCCTTTCTTTTTTTTTTTTTTTTTTCTCCTTTTTTACTGGAGGCTTGTAAAATAATTACTATTGAGAAATCCCCTGGGGCATGTGTCTGCCTCTAGGACGAGTTCAGAGGGAGCTAGAGCAATGCCTTGCTCGGTCCGTGGCTCTGTGGCCAAGTGCTTTCTCTATCCTGTTTCCACGGCAGAGAAGTGACGACAGGCGTGTGGGACGACCTCGCTGGCTTGTCTTTCCACGCCTGCCCCGCTCCTCCTCCCTCTGCACCTCCACTCTGTCCTCCTCTTCCCCCGCCTCAACACGGGGCCGAGTAGGTGACATTTGTGTATCCACATTCTGACCTTTTATAGTCATGTTTGGCTACTTTGCAGCTCACCCAAAGAGATACAACCTAACCCCCAACCTACCTTTATTTTTTTTAATGATTAAAAGTAACTTTTGTAGTTTAAAATAATCTTTTCCTCTTTCTTAAAAATTAAGAAATGGAAATGCTTTTTTTTTATTGTATAACGTAGAAGATCCTCTCCTTAAGTATTTTTTTCAAGCTTATAAAAAGATTTTGTGTAGGAAATTTGCTTATATTTTGTATTTTATTTTTAGTAGCAGCTGAAATGTCTTTAGTTTTAGCTCCGCCCCCCTTCCTCCCCTCTCTCTCTCCCTCTCCCCCTCTCCCTCTCCTCCCTCCCTCCCTTTCATGTCATCTACATTGTCATTGGAGCCCATACTTATGGGGATTAAGCCCACACCTGGCCTTCCATTCCACATCAGATACAGGATTTGGTGTCATTAACATTTGTCATCATACCTCATAAGTGGATCCCTGCTTTGTCTACCTACATGCATTTGGGGCTCACTGTGAGTGAGTCCTTGATCCCGCTACTGTGATGAAGAGGGTTCCAGACTGGGAGATGGCCAAGTTCATCTTCTTGCCGTGTACGAAAGCTGGATTGGGACCACCATGGTCCTGGCAGCCCTGCTGTCTGGATGGTTCTCGGTGCCCCTTACGCTGGCCAGGGCAGGCGGAGCCCGGGCTGTGCGGGAGGAGGGCTTGCTAGCGGGCTCTGCTGCTTCTCTGCTCCACTCCGCAATTCCAGATCCTCCTGGGCCTGGCTGATGTCTGGTAACTGTAGACCACTGCTAACCCTCTCTTTTAAAATGTCATGTCATTATGAGGCATAGGCAGCCTGTGGGGCCCTAAGAAGGTTAAAAGGTAGGATCAACTCAAGTAATGTTTGGGCAGTGAGAGAGGAAAGGTTTCATATTTAAGTGCAGAAGTGAGAGAATGGGCCAGCCCATGCACCTGCTGCAGCTGAACCAGATTGGGGTTTTTAAGACTCCCGGATATAGCCAGAGTAGAAAACCTGCTCTTCTGAATGAGGAGGGAGAATAAAAAGGAAACTTTTAGCCCTTGTCCTTAGGGCTTTGAGGATTTTCTTTTCCCCTCTACTCTACTCACCCTTGCTTGACATCACTGTCTCCAGACCTCTGAACAGTAGGGTTCTTTCTCTGGGAAACTGTCCTTCTAGAGCAGAATCTGTATCTAGAGCCATGGGACATTAAGCCAGAGAGCTCTGATGGCCCTTTTAAGGGAATTCCAAGAACCAACATTGCTGCTCTGTGAGAAGAACCTCTGCCCTCCACTCCTTACTTGAGTGAGTAAAGGGAACTAACAGTTGTCCCTTTAGGAGGACAAAAATGAGGTCAAGAGGACACAAAAAGGTTGGATAATACCAGATTGGTTCCAAGTAATTAATGGATGTGTGCACATTTTCTGTTCAAGAGTTAAGCCCAGAATACCAGTGGATTTGTTTTTGTCACTGAGTAACCCCATTAACTAGTCATTAATTCATGTCAACTCTGAAGATTTCAAATAGTGGCAGGCATTGGTGACTGAATTTATGTTTTGATAAATATGACACTGTTAAAGCAACCATAACCCATAAAGAATAAATCTGTTAATTATATTTTTCCTCATGTAAACAAATTTTCCTCTTCCCTTTCTTTGATTACACTAGAAGAGGAAATGTCTTGCAAAGATTCAGAGAACAACTAATTTTTCACTGGATGAGACCTGAGTAACCCCGACCCCCCAGCATGGTTCTTTTCACAGCTCTTGACTTTGCACTTAAAAAGGGATATTGTAAATGAAAGGCTTCAGAGCCAATTTTAAGAAAGAATTTCTGTGAAGCGTTAGGACTCTGGAGTCTAGCTCACATAAAGAGAGTGTTATATAAAAATCTGACAGCTGAACTAGGTGCTCCTTTTTGGCAGGGGGTGGGGATGAGATTTGACACCAATATAGGCAAAATTAGATAACGTTTTGGTTAATATAAATGATTTTGATTTGGAGACCTCATTTGTAGATTGTGAAAGCAGCTTTTAGTTCAACGTATTTACAAACCAACCATAAATACCATTTTTTTCTTCCTAAATCTCTCGATTCAGCTTGGATGCCAAAAGGTAGCTGTGAATCTTATGTGCCCATAAAGTGGGAGTGTTGAGTAGATTCTTCTTTATTCTGGCAGTGAGTCAGTGTCTGGCATTTTTGTCATAAGTGTTTTATTAAAATGCTTTTTCAGCATTTCACGGCCCCTCCTTCCCATGCCCTCAGACCAAGCAAAAGCATAAAGGCACAGCCAGAGGCCTCTCTAGCCTCTCTGAACCACGTGTCCTCTTAGGTGTAACTTCGAGCATAACTCAGAAAGGGAGCCATCCTACCCCCAGTTGAGGACTGGACCATCCCTGCTGGTCCTGCCAGCGCGGGGAGACTGGAGGTGCAAGAGGAGTCTTTTTATCTCCCCCTTGTCTGCCACGAGTTCCTAATTTGGCTCTGTTGAGTCCAGTCATTGAGAAACCTGAATTAAAAACACCAGCACTTCTGCTTGCTGGGCTGGCAGGGCCTGCGAAGCCATTGGCAGGTAGTGTCCTGGTGAGAGTCATTTTATTAAGATTTGACCGCTTTCAGCTGAGGCAATTAGTAGATATGTGATAGGATAGGCCCTGCTGGGAGGGCAGTTACAGGAGAGAGTAGGGGGGCCGTGGAATGGAGCTGTGAAGGTTCCAGAGACAGGTTTTAGATTTTTCATTTATTCATTCATTCACTCCTAGAATTTTTCAGTTTTATTAAGGAAGAGTACTGACTGAGGCTCTGGGGAACGTTGAAGAATAGGAGAGACTGGGGAAGCTTGATTGACAATAGTTACTCAGAAGACCCACGTGCTAGCGAGGTGTCTCTCTCCCTCTCTCTGTCTCTGTCTCTCTCCCTCTGACACACACACACACATTCCTCCCTTGTCTTAGATACTCATTTGTGCCTTAAATGTGCCTTATATATGAATCCAGGATGACTGAGCAATCCCTTGTCCCTGGGAGATTTTATGTAGAGCCTTGTGGTATGAGATTGCGATGGGTGTGTGTGGGGAGGGGGTGAAGAACTTTTTTCAAAGGCTCAAAAATGGTTTTCTAAAAGTGAGCCACTATCGGATTTGCTCATCAGGAGAAAAGAAATAGGGTTCTGTCCATTAGGAAAATCCCATTTTGCAGGCATGCAATTACATCAAAAAACGGCCAGCTAGGATTTGAGGGTATTATAAATCCTCATAGCAGAACATTTTCTCAGTGCACAGGGTCCTGGCCCATTTGAGGGTTAATGTTCCATGCCTCTGTGGCCAAAGGGTCAGCACTTACCGCAGGAAAAAACTGGGAGGTGTTTTGTTATTTTGGGCAACATAAAATTCAGGAATGGTTTATTTTGTCATGGTTTCTAGAAAGAAGGGAAATAGTATTTCTTAAGCACTTACTAAGGTGTTGGGTACTGTTCTAAGTTTGAAGTCAATTTCATAGATACAGAAAACAAGAGTGACAGTTTACTAGGAGATGGATAAAGAACTAAGTAATATAGGAAGTATGCCAACTGGGGATTAGACTGAGCAGATTTCTTTGTGAACACACTGTAGACTTTTAAGGTTCTCTGGGCAGGAATCACAGCCCCTGCCTCCTGCGATGGTCCCGCTGCGCAATGTTCCTTTCTTCACCCCATGCTGGCGCTGTCCGCCAGATGCCCATCTCCTGTCTTTGTTCCAGTCTTCTGTGAGCTCCTGCTAGCAGGCATTACAACATCTGGGAAAACAGAAACCAGCGGTTTTAGCTCTAGTTCTCTGTTCCCATCCTTTGTTCACCAGCTGGGTGAGAACATGAACTTTTTGCACCATGGACCCACAGCCTACACTACTTAGAAAAATCTCCCTTTTAGATAAAATGCTTTCTGAGTCTGTAAAAAATGCCAGCACTCTTTGACAAACTGTGAGTGACCCTTTTTAAACAATGCTGAGTGGACCCTGGGCTATAATCAACAGTGAGCTTGAAGTCTATGCTGACAGCTGGGCTGGCTTCTCTTTTGTAACAGGTTATATAGACCGGCAGTGTTTAAATCTAAATACATTGTGAGTCTATTGTCTGTCCTATTGCATTGTTTTTTTATGGCTTTTATTCTTTATCATAGCTAAGTAAATACCAAAAAAAAAAAAAAAATGATTTGTAGGATACTTGTACTTAGTTTGAAAAAAATTGAAATTGTTATGCTTTTGTATTTCCATTTCTTGCAAATAAATATTTTTCTTAAATAGTAAAATGTTGCCCAGTCTTTAAAATCCTGGTAATCTGGTTTTAGAAACATTTTGTTTTCTATGACCATGAGTTTGTGTATGTGTGTGCTTACCCATTCTTTCCTGGTTATCTAGCGGAATTGAAAGCAGAGCCTCAAACCAGCAATTGCAATGCTGTATAGTACTGAATCCCAGTCTCCGTTGGAGAAGTATTGAGAAATGTAATTGTTTTTTCAGGCAGTCACAGGAAGAAAAGCAGTATTCTCTAGAGATGTATGCAGCCTGACTGCTATTTTCGTTGTCTCCTCCAACTATTCCCGAACTAGATTTCAAAAGTCTACGGATTTGATTTTGTTTTTCCCATCTCTGGATGCTTGTGAAAGATCCTTTGGACCTGAGCCAGCGCAGAATGATCCTTCTTCACACGAACAGTTGCAGAGGATGTCTAACACAGACTCGTGCTCCAGAAATTCTGACGAAATGGTTGATAAAGGTCAATGCACTCCAGCAGAATAATCTTCATTCCATTGCAGTGTCTGGACCCAAATGTAACTTTCTCCACTCAGAGAGAGAGGGGGCTTCATTTCGTCCTCAGAAAGAGGGCCTCGGGATGTTAGAGACTAAGGCCATGGGCTGTGCTGACCTGGAAAAAACCAACTTTTTCTTTTTTCCTTAGCAGCATGCCTAACCCTGCTTTGGCCTTGAGGATGCATTAATCTGCCAGATCTTTCCCCCTCTGAGCACCTTGGTTTCTCTTCTTCTGTTCCTACATGAGGAGTCTTTCCCTGCAGAGGCTTTTAGTAAC